GTCTGATTGTTTGTTGGTCTGATTGTTTGTTGGTCTGATTGTTTGTTGGTCTGATTGTTTGTTCAATTGTTTGTCTGATTGTTTGTTTGTTTGTCTGATTGTTTGTTTGTCTGATTGTTTATTTGATTGTTTGTTTGTCTGATTGTTTGTTTGATTGTTTGTCCGATTGTTTGTTTGTCTGATTGTTTATTTGATTGTTTGTTTGTCTGATTTGTTTGTTTGATTGTTTGTTTGTTTGATTATTTGTCTCATTGTTTGTTTGTCTGATTGTTTGTTTGTCTGATTGTTTGTCTGATTGTTTCTTTGTCTGATTGTTTGTTTGTCTGATTGTTTGTTTGTCTGATTGATTGTTTTTCTGATTGTTTTTCTGATTGTTTGTTTGTCTGATTGTTTGTTTGCCTGGTTGATTGTCTGTCTGATTGATTGTTTGTCTGATTGATTGTTTGTCTGATTGATTGTTTGTCTGATTGTTTGTTTGTCTGATTGTTTGCAGGTGAGGAACTCGTCCACGCTCCTGTTCAGCACTCTGATCACCAGGATTTTTGGAGTAAAAAGAGGAAAAGATGAGCACTCGAAGAAGAACAGGTGGGACAGTTTCCTGTTGTGAAATAAAAATAGTTTTGTAAATCTGTAAAAAAATTCTTTGCTGCAGAAACACAAATGATCTGAAAACAGTTTGTTTTTTTTTAATTGATTTACTTTTCATTTTATTTCATCAGATATTTGAATAATTATTTCAACAATAAAGAAGTGTTACTGTAAGGTCCACAGATCAGACTGAGGACATTTGGACCTGAGTTTACAGAAAAATGTCTGATTCAGAGACAAACTGTTGTTGAAGAACAGCAGCACCAGCAGGGGGCGCTGACACCAGCTCCATCTGTCAGCACAAACACTTTCACTCCTATAATACAGTATAATGAAGACATCTCTGTTTTTGCTTCTAAAACCTGAGTTGAGTTTAAGACGCAGCTTTTCTGGGTTCTGAACAGAGTTTGAAGCAGAACCTTTGACATGAACCTCCTCCACACACTGAGCCTGCAGACAGTCCCAGTCTGAGCTGAAGATCTGCTCTGGATGTCAGATCAGTGGTTCTGTGTGTTTCTGTCTTTCCAGGATGACGGGTCGCGAGTTTTTCACTCGTTTTCCGGCTCTTTATCCATTTCTGCTGAAGCAGCTGGAGGAAGCTGCAGCCTCGGTGGAAAGGTGAGCTGAATCTGATCTGTTTCAGCTGTTCCAAAACCTTCAGCTGATTTCCATGCTGAGTGCTGTGACTTTTACTTTATTTTCACTTTTATACTTATTTACAAATATTTTCCTATAAAAACCATTTAGAGCTCTTTAACTCCTTCAAAAGCCTTCTTCTCTGACACCTGCTTCAGCTGCAGGCTCTGTTTCCTCTTTAGCTACTTTGATCTTTTAGCTAGAGTCATTCTTCATCAGTCATCCAGCTCTCGGTGGTCTCAGGATGGTCTTCAGCTCTTTCAGATGAATTTTTCTGCAGTGGAGATAAAGTCTTCTGGGTCTAACTGTTTCAGCTCTCCTCCCAGTGGTCTGATATAAAATGATGGATCAGTTGACTGCAGGCTCATGCAGACCTGTTTGTTGTCTGAACTCCTTCAGACTCTTGTTAAAACAGTTAAAGATCCCACAGAACCAGACCTCGGCTGCCTGACGTCCTTCATCAGCTCTGTGCCACCCAAACAGACGGACCGCAGCACACTGCAGCTGGAGGGCGACTCTTTGTGGCTTTAATCAGAAAACACAGAATTGTGTCGTCTGAAAAGACACATTAAAGATGGCAGACCTGGAGCTGTGTTACTTCACAGGCCCAAAGCAAAGACCATTTTCAAACCAGTCACTTCAACAATGCAGGTGGACAACATGACCCACCTAGACTCAGGACCTGGGGTGTAGTTGAAATCCTGCCAGAGGTGGGAGATGAAGATCTTGTAGGGGTCACCCTGAGGGGGAATAAACATGTCCACTCTGGTCTCAGAAGACCTCCCTGAAAACAGACATTTTATTTTCTTTAATCAAGATAATAAACAAAATAATAATGTTCTTTATATTTTTGATTTATATTTTATTTTAAATAAAAGTTATTATCATTTTATAAATCAAAGTTACGTAATGAAATGAATGACAATCTATCTTCTTGCATTATAAGTAGTACAACCACAATCTTTTAATGAATTCTTCCAGCAAACATTTTCAACAAACCAGATGTGAGAGGCCGTTCCCCACGTTCACACCCCTCCAGGTCCCACATGAAGGGTCTTCAGCAGGCGAGCACCTTCCAGCTGAACGTTAGGTTAGGTTAGGTAAGGTTAGGTTAGGTTAGGTTAGGTTAATGTTAGGTTAGGTTATGTTAGGTTAGGTTAATGTTAGGTTAGGTTAGGTTAGGTTAATGTTAGGTTAGGTTAATGTTAGGTTAGGTTAGGTTAGGTTAGGATAATGTTAGGTTAGGTTAGGTTAGGTTAATGTTAGGTTAGGTTAATGT